TCATTCCACATGTGATTGATTGTTAAACGCATATTCCCTACCACAGATTCTTCTGTGTTCTGGAAATAGACTGTACTCAGTCAATGGAGAATGGCAGGTAATGGTAGAAAAGGAAGTTCTCCTAGAGACCACGCTTTTATTGGTACTGATTACAGTCCTGACCTGTCAATGGTGGACATAACATTGTTTCTGTGAATACCTACAATATTTAAAAGTAAACTTTTGGTAAGAAAAGTGCCTCACAGAGCTATGAATGGCATCATTGGAAACTCCAAGAGAATAGAAATACATCTTTCATGTGTTTTCTAAATTGACAGTTGTACTTGATTCTCACTGAGTACAGGAAATCTACAATTTAAGGAAAAAGAAGGAATAAATGGGAAAACATGTTTACATTTATTTTAAGAAAACAATTCATATGTGGAGGATAAGAATACTTATAAAATTAATGGAAAATAGTAAATATAAGAAATTAAAGGCAAAGCAGTATTTTTCTTTTTCCTGTGCATATATGTGTAAAATGTATGAGTGTGTGTGTATGCGTGTGTACATGTGTTGATGTTTGTTTGTGTGTGAGAGAGTGAATGTGGGTACACGCATGCCACAGAGAACAATGCTGGTGTCTGTACTTGCCTCCCACCTTATGTGACATAGGTTCTCTTGGTTATGAGCTGCTGTGTGTGCCAGAGTAGCTGGCCCATAAACTTTTGGGCATTCTTCTGTCTCTGTCTCCCATCTTTCCATAGAAATACTTTAATTAAAGATGAATAATTCTGTACTGGGCTTTATGTGGGGCCTGAAAATTCTCACACAGGTCCTCATGTATGCATGGCAAGTGCTGGATACACTGAGCCATCTCCCCTGGCCACAGCAAATCATTTTCTTATTTAATGAATGCCTCATTCTGCAACATTTGCTGACTAAAGGTAAAGATCTGGAGAAATGTGTGCACATTTTGAAACAATTTGCCACAGTCAGTCTGTGATTATCTTTGCTTAACTGTTAGTGAACTCTTCCCCAAAGGCACTAGACCTGTTATATGAATGTCTGCCTGCCTGGTCCTACCGTCAGAGTGATATTATACCATTATACATCTCTAGACATCATTGACCTGCGTAAATGAAACTACACTTACTCCATTTTCTAATTTTGTTTTGTTTTGTTTGGGGGTGGGAAGGATCAGATAGCTCAGGGTAGCCTTGTATTTGCTATTTAGCTAAGGATGACCCTGTACTCCTTATCCTCCTGCCTTTATCTCCCAAGTAGGATTGCAGACATGTGCCATCAAGCCTGGCCTCGTGTCTACTTTTTAGGAAAATGAGAAATGAAATAATTGTCAGTAATAGTCAAAATGTTAACCTTCTTTGCCTCTCAGAATGTATGATAAGCTGATTTTTTTCTTTCATGCTGGCTTAAGCCATTAGACTCTAGGAGTTGGACTTTGACTTTTCTCACTGAAATGGAGGAAGAAATATTAAGAGCTGTTTGGTCTAGAATAAACATCTCCCTGTGAAGAGGGGCCTTCTTATCTTTTTCATGTATTACAGAGGCTCTGGATCAGATCCCTGGGTGCAGAGGGTGGCCAAGGGGTGTCTAGTAGCATGTGAAGAAGATATTGCTTAAGAGAAACTGTTCAAAGACTCTGAGCATCTATTCATTGGACTGTATCAGAAATAGTTTGATTAAAAGGGGTAGACCTCATTCTCCATAGCAATGCCTTATGTTACCTTACTCTTCAAGATTCTAATTTATACATTTCTTAGAAAACTCTTAAAAGTATGACATGATCAGGTATTTTCTTGTTATTCATCTGAAGACATAAATTAAAGACACCAGAAGCTGGGCCTGGTGGGGCAGGTCTGTTATCTCAGCAACTCGAGAAGCTGAGGCAAGAGGATCATAAGTTTAAGACCTGTGTGGGCTACAGAATGAATTTAAGACAAACATGAACAACTTGATAAGATTCTTTTTCAAAATAAATCGTCAAACTAGATGTGGTGGTACATACTTTTAACCCATTCAGCAGCCTAAGTTAAGAGTAAAATAGCAAAGGCTTGGAGAACAGCCAACCTTACCTGAAGAGTTGTGGTGCGTGTTTTCCTGGGGCCAGCATGGATCTGGTTGGATTTTATATTTAAAAGTATTGTTTCCTGTTTCAAGTCCCTTCCTTACCGAAATAATTTTCTTGTGATTTTTTTTTTATAGTGACAGACATTTCTTTAGAAATTTTCTTAGAAATGCTTCTTGACTCCAATTGGGTCTGTCATAAGATATCTCTGATGCTGAAGGGAAGGGAGGACAAACTTCAGGATTTCATTTATGCATCTACAGTTTCTGTCTATAACCTTACATGAGCCTTAGCTTCTTCAGCTGTCCTAGGGGCACTGATGTCTCCTTTCCTAGCTTATGCCAAGTATTAAGTTAAACCATAGGTAAAAAGCACAGGTGCCTACTAACTAGGTGCTCCATAAGTTCTGATTGCTGCGCTAAAATTACCACCTTTGTTATTTTTCAGAAATTTTGATTGGAATTAGAGATAAACCTATGTCAGAGTCAGTAGATAACAGTTATGAGAGAAATAGCTATCTCTGTGCTATCTAATAGACACTAATAACATCTAACATCTCATAGCTGTGAAAAGGCTTAACTCTCATTAACCACACTATGATGTAAGCTACAGTATCCTGCCCATTTTATACACAAAGAAACTGAGGTTCTGAGGTTTAAGTAACTTTCCGAATAGGTCCATTTGGAAGTAATAAGTGAGGTAGGTGCATTCTGTGGAATCTTTGTATGATTAGCTGAAGGGAAGCCTTGATATTTGGATTCTTCTTTGCAGTTTTTGCTTCCCAAGATGATGCAGACGGCACATTCATTAAGGTGCCCAAAGGATTTCTCCAACATTGGCAAAGATCCTTAACTGTAGTTTAATGCTCCCTCGACAGTGTGGCACTCTAAAACATCTTTTACTTTCATTTCATTTCAGCCTGTGAGGTGGAAGCGGGGAAAGTGTACCAGGTTTCCTCCGAAGAACACATGCAGCCTTTCAAAGAAAACATGGAGCGGTTCATTAGTCAAGGTAAACTGCACAGAGCTGCTTTCCAACATCTTTAAGCAGAAGTGTAGAAAGCATTTATTTGTTTTAATAAAAATTGATAAAGAATTATGTTAGCATCACAAAAAACAGATGATGGTTAATCATGGGCATTAGAGGCTACAATTTGCTAATCATGCTATTCTCCAGAAAATGCTCCATAGTATTATTGGAGTCATTGTATACCAGTGGACACACTATAACTACAAACAGTACATATTTATAAAGACATTAAAATTGTGCTTTTATTATATCGAATTAGGCATTCTTGTAAAGTAGTTTTTTTCTTTTTCTCTTTTCTTTTTTTGAAGGATTTTTTAATGTATATGAATATTTTGCCTGCATGTATGTATGCACATCATATGAATGGCTTGGTGCCTGTGGGTTCCAAAAAAGGATGTTAGATCCCCCGGAACTGGTGTTGCAAATGGTTGCAAGCCACCATGTGGGTGCTGGAAACTGGACCTAAGATCTCCTGCAGAGCAGCAAGTGCTCTTAACTGCTGCCATTTCTCCAGTCCCCCCACCCCTTTCTCTTTTCTTTTTTGTTGTTACTCGCACACAAATGCTCTACCACTGAGCTACATCTCCAATCCATTCTCTTAAGTTTTAACTCTGCTTATGACCTCACTTCAGTCTGGTATTTATTTGGTTTTCAAAACATTATTCCAAAGAACAAAGTATAATGGTGTCTTTCAAATCTTGAGAACACCGTTTGTTATTTTCGCAGGCTGAATTAATACCTCTTGATATTTAACACCTTTCTTTTGGGGAGCCTAAAAACTATAAATATTATCCCACTGATGCCTCTCTACATTCCAAAAAGATAAACGGGAATGGAAATTTTCAGAAGATACTAAAGAAATTATTTTTTTAAGTCCTGTTGTTTTAAGTCATTGAAACTTACAATTATATCAAAGCATTTAATACTCAAAACATTTCAGCCTTGGAATGTTACATCTCTTCTGAAGATCAGATTTATATCATGCCATGCTCTGGGAAGGATTTCGCTCTTTGAGGAATTCTCCTAGAGGCGACCGTGGCAGGAGACTGAGGCCAAGCATGACTCTGAAGGCTGGCTCTGTCCTCTTGCAATCAACTATGGCTTTCAAATTTCCTCCAAGTGTCATTGGAGTTGACTTACAAGAAATGAGTCATGACACAATTTAATTAATGTAAGCACAGCTTCCTTTAGATGGAAAAATACCATTTAATCTTTTAGCATAATCATGGAGCTCTAGACAGAATTCTATTGAGATTCATAAAGCGATTAGATCCTTCAGAACTACAGTAGAAAGTTGACTCCCTGATTCCTAAAGGATTTCTTCAGCAAAATCTAGTCTTGCAATTGCAGAATAGAGGCCCTGCAGTCTTCCTTCCTTCTTAGTGTTAAAAAAAAAAAAAAAATGAGTCTTGGTTTTTCTATCTAATGGAATGTGAAGATCAAGAATGTGACACTTTAAAAACAATACATGGGAACGAGATGGAGAGGTTGCTCAGCGGTTAAGAAAGAGCACTGACTGCTCTTGCAGAGGATCTAGGTTTGATTGCCAGCATGTACACGGTAGCTGACTACCATCTATAACTCCAGTTTTAGTGGATCCAACATCCTCTTCTGACATCCACAGGCATTCCAGGACCTGGGTGCGCTTGTGTACATGCAGACAATACACTCATACATATAAAATAAAAATAATAAAATTTAAAAATTAAAAACAATGCATGACTTTGGAAGATCACGTAGGTAGCATTCCCTTTTGGCTTTAGAGAAGGAGGGAGTTCTTATTTCTCAGCCTGTCCAAATCAAAGTCAAACATTCAGCCAGATTTCACATGTAAAACGTACATAAGTGTATACATTAAGCATGATTTATTCTATATATTATATATTACGCATGCCATATACATTATGAATACATGATTTATTAAATAATGATATGTAGTGTTACTTCATTATGCATGATTAATTATATAATATTGGGAGTCTGGGATATTTTTTTTTCAGTCTTTTTGAGACAGGTCTCTCTGTAGCCCCAGCTAGCCTGGAACTTGCTATGTAGATCAGGCTGGCTTTTATCTCACAGAGATCTCCCTGCCTCTACCTCCCAAGTGCTGAAATTAAAGGCATATGCCACCATGCCAGACTGGGACTCTGTATACACCAGCACTGAGATTTTTGTTTTACAACCAAATCATAGTCATGAAAATATAAATAATAAAATTTAATCTTGCAAGCCACTTAGAAATTAGAAGTCAGGCTTCTAACCAGAGATAAATGCCATAAATATTTGCCTTTTATAATCATTTATAATTCAAAACACTGATGGAAACTGAACCCACGTTCCCTGCAAGAGAGCGCTCTTAACAGGTGTGCCATCTCTTCAGCTCCATTTTTTTCTCTTCTTTTTTATTATTACTCTTTTTATTTTTTCAGAACTGTGCATTGAACTCAGGGTCTCATGTAGATGTTAGCTAAATGCTCTATCCCTGAGCTACATCTCCAACCCAATCTCTTAGGTTTGAACTCTGCTCATGACATCAGTACAATCTGGAATTATTTGGTTTGTCAAAATAGTATGCTCAAAGAACAAAGCATATTGTATCTTTCAAATCTTTGAAACATTGTTTTCCATCATTGCCTTTAGGATTTCTCTATAAATTCATATGCAGGAAAGGTAGAGCTACTTGTCATACTAAATGGATAAAGATCTCTTTACATTTTATTTATGAATATTATGAAATACTATGAACATTTATGAATATGTTATGAAATGCAGTTATGAGTTGTACACTTGTTGCATTAAATGAAAGCAGTGTTCTTAGTAAATATGTAGTAAAATATGTTCCAACTGTTACATGTATTAATTATCATTTTGCCATTAAATTAAAACAGAACACATCTTTCTTCACAGCTCTTCTTGTAACATTGTTTGCCTTTCTATTTTCCTCTGGTCATGTTTAAATGTTCTCTGATTATTTGTTTGTTAAAATATTTAAGGAGGCTGGGGTGTTTTCAGTAGTAATGTATGTGCTTAGCATGTCTGAGGTCCTGAGTTCAGTCCCCAGTGTCAAAAAAATTCAGTGTGTCCAGGCATTCTTTTGGATATTTGTAACAGTGATATGAAGAAAGTATGTGTAATGGATCTTCCATCCTGCATCATTAGAAAGACAGAGAGTAACAACAACAACTAAAATGCTTTGGGAAAACTTGCCTTGGTCACATTTGTCAAATTTGTGAAAAAAATAATGACCAGCTTTATGCATGGTGACTCTTGAACCTGTATTCAGTGACATGTAGTGAATGAATTTCAAAATGTATTCATCTTAAAGTAATCTTTTCTAGTATAGCAAGTTTTGGCTACTTATTTCTTCTAGTTATAAAGACTAAATCATAAAAATCAAACGTATAGCTAAAGAAAATGCTCACTGGGGCAGGAGAAATGGCTCAGCAGTTAAGAACACTAGCTGCTCTTGCAGAGGATCCAGGTTCAATTCCCAGCACCTACATGGCAGCTAACACTGCTTGTAACTCCAGTTCCAGGGGAATCCGATGCCCTCATCTGACCTCCACAGGCACTGCATGACACAAGTGCACTTACATACATGCATGCAATATACTCATACACATAAAATATTTTAAGAAAGAAAATTCTACCTTAGTAAAAAGAACATGTGAAACCTTTGCTTATAATTAGACTTTTATCAATCATAACATATCTATATCTCTCTTTCCAAATTAGTTATGGAAGAATATTATATTTTAATATGTCCAAAGTCTATTTAAATGTGACTAATTCTCAATGTAGACTCTCTCAGACAATTCAAAAGACAGACCACGTCTAATGTTGGACAAACTTTTTATTGGTTAGTTCCCACAGTCAACAGAAACATCTCTTATAATCCAGCTATTGTGTGGTCTGTGGGTCACATTCTAAGAATCTTTGTAGATTGTGGCTTTCATTTCATCCAGGAACCCATCGATTCATCCAACTTTCCCTCCTTGCTTCCCTAGTCTAGTTAAGCCAGTGTTTCATGGTCTCTGTTTCATACTATCTCTTTGAAAATGTCTTCTACTCTAAACTAGGCAACTGTAGACGACTCACACCTGCTGCTGTGGTGGTGAGGCATTCGTTGTTTGTGAAGGTGCTAGCCTTTCCATCATTGGGAAAAGATTCACCCTAATGATGTTCTAGCCTCTGCCCAGCTTTGTACTCATGACAATGCTTACCACTGTCTGCACTTGTGCTATCTGTTTATCCTCAGCAATATAAAGTCCTCTGAGAGAGCAGCCTTGAATGGCTTTTCCCTGGGCTCTGCTGTATATCTCACCAGCAAGAGACCAACAATCTTCCACAAGCTCATCTCTTTTATTTTTATCTCTCTTTGCTCTACAGCACAGAGCACTGAATAGTTTCTTTGAGATTTTGAGGGAGTCTTTATAAGGTGTCTAGTGTCACCTTAAATGCATGGCCATAAAACCACCTTTGGAACTGATTTCTACGTAATAATAGTGTAAAATTTTCCTTAGAAAATTAAGTTTCTTGGTTTCTAAAACTGTTCATATCACCTCCTCTCAAACCTACACAATCTTCCTGGGCTACCTAATACTGCATTGTAACCTACCTCCATTTGTCATTGAGGAAATAGAACTGTACAAAGGCTTCCTCCCACACCTAACCACCACCACATCCACAGACAATCTGAACCGATACTTTCTGTATAGCATCTATTACAGCCAAAGGAAATCCTGCTCCCATCTAAGGCTACTCCTTTCACACAAATCATGGATGTGATCCATCTCTATTGATAGAGGAATTCATTGTCTTCTTTTCTAAAATATGTGTGTGTGTGTGTGTGTGTGTGTGTGTGTGTGTGTGTGTAATTCTTGAGGAGGTCAGAGGCTTCAGATCACCCAGTTACTGGAGTTACAGGTGATTGTGAGCTGCCTAATGTGGATGCTGGGAACCCAACTCCAGTCCTCAGAAAG